CACCAATAAGCCTTGGCTTATGTTGCTTTCACGAACTTAACTTTTAATGAAGTTGTTTAAAGAGCAATTTAATACTATTTGGATGAGCTCTCTCAGTCTAGGTTTCCACATGGACATCCTTCAACTCTTTGCTTTTTTGCAAGAAGTGGAGATGCAGGTGCTATCTGAAACCAATTTAGAGTGGAAACAAACTGGGACTCTGTTTGTCTTTTTACACCAGTTCCATGGTCTTAATTTCAATGAATTTTTCCTGATTTATCCATGAAATGAGAATCAGTCTGAAAGTACACATTTGGCAGAAATGGTATTACCCTTAGAGATATCATCAGCTCCCCTATCTGAAGAATATTGTACTACCAGCTCACAAAAATGAAAAAATTTAAAATATAACCAAAAGCTGTAATTCAGGTTGTCAGAGAAAACTCGAGTTCAAGTTTCATGAAGAACATGAGATTGCTGTCAGCAAAAACTGCTGGCTCTAGTGATGGACAGAATACTAAAATTTCTCTCCTGCTTGCTAATGTAAATCAGGTATTTGTGTCATATAATTTATTTTCTCTCTGCATACAGATGCCAGCAGAGTCTTTTACAACAGAAAGGCCAGGACGAATCATGCTAATTACGAAAAAGGCTTAGACTAATGATATCATAGAGAAAATGCATATGTCCTTCACATATCTACAGGGATGATAGGAGAATAATCCTCTTTCATGGAAGTTCATCATACCAGTGGCAAGGTATGCCTTGAAGCCCTGACACAAACACTATTTTGTTCAGAGTAGAAGAAATAAGATCTAAAATGCTATGTGGGATAAGATGAAATCTCAGGTACTCACGCTGTTGTGAAAGACCGAAACCTATCCTGCCAAACAAAGTGGGAGTCTCAGTAATCTCTGTATTACTTTTCCGACCTGATTTCATATCATAAATGTGACACTGTTGACAATCAACACAAACAATTTTTTGTGTGTGTTGGAAATAATACAGGTTTTTTGTGACCCATTTTGGCAAGCATGTGTTTTATTACCATCAGAAATCAATAAAATATCTAATTTTTTCCAGTTCCTAAACACCTTTTTACTGTTTCAAGGAATAGCGTACACTTAAACACAAAAAAGCCATCTATGTCAACAAAGCATGATTAAGGTTGTAAAAAACAAACATTGGAAGGCCAGGAAATGCCAGAATTGTCTGAACATCCATAATTTAAATCTCTCATGTCTGTGCCTTATGATGAAGTTTTAAATTACATGATAGGATATAGTGTGTGCCATGGCACCCCGTTTAGAAGGTCCAGAAGAGCACAGGAGTCCAGCTTTCATTCTTTGTGCAAGGGAAGGCACTCATTACAGAATAAATCCTCCCTCACAACTGCAGGCTTTAAGCTCAAAAATTACTTTCGGACTTGCTCATGCAGTTTGCTGATGTCAAGAGCAGCTTGCACAGTGAAGATGGAATGTGTTGAGATTTTAGTTGTTGAGATCAAATAAATCTTTCCTGAACGCACATGAATTTCTTTTTTTTTTTTTAAAAAAGGGCTTATATCTTGCATAAAGCTGGTCAACTTTTCACTCAAACCCAAAATAATCTCCTTACAAATTGCAGTGTCTGCTCCACAACCTGGCAAGCCATAGACTTAGAGATACAAAACTCAGAAACAGCAGAGCGGTTTTTAGCACAACATTTTTAGCCAGTCTGACAAAGTTGTATATACAAACCAAACCAGATTTATGTACTGGAAAATGCTAGACAATCTCATTAATCGAGAACTGATGATAGGCTCCCTGTGGTTTCACATGCAAAACATGTATATACCTGCATACTATGTAGAACAAATTAACGCATACATTACTACATAACACTTAAAGCAAACACAAAGTGTGTGAATGGCATCTAGAGCTTGAGGAATACTAAGAAAAATTTAGAAATTGCTTAATCCAGACCTCTTCTTTTTTCAGGGAAAACGTGCGTGGTTTGAAACCTGGGTGTGAATATCACACAGTGGGAAGTGCTCTAATAACTTCACTCACAGGTGAAAAAAAGATATAGAGACATACAAAAACGTGGGTGTTAGCAACATTCTCTATCTTTAATTAAATGACTCCCAGCCTCTAAATTTTCCACCCTCTCTCCCACTTCGAGCTTAAGGTTCTTGTTCTCACATACAGAGCTCCACAAAAGTCCCTCCTGCCCACATCTCATTTCACATTTTCTCCTTCTGTTACAGTCTGAGTTCTATCCAAATTATTTTCTTAAACGCCTACTGTATACCTTCTCTGGTCTTTGCATCACGTCAAGGCTTACGTTTCAAAGAGTTGAGTTTTGTTCATTTGAATTGCTATCTAAAACAGGCTTTTTTTGCAAGGTCAACAGATGCTAATATGTTGGCTAAAGCAATCTTTTTTTAAGAAACTGATTCTCTAGATGAGAATTATATTCTTTATCCTGATGCATTGCTTGCATTGTTTGACTAATGGAGGCTATCCCTGACTTGTGTCACAGATGTATTTTCACCAGAAAACTGTGAAAAGTAAAAATTATATCATACCTACGCTAATATAACAGAACTTCTTCAACTAATTTACCGAGTTTGTAAAACCTGAGCCACTTTGTAAACTTTTTCTCCCTTCCAGATTAAATACATCTTTTTCCTTAAAGGAAACTTGATTTTAAAAAGATGGGACTGAAATCAACCCACTAAAACTGAAGACTGCCAAATTTCACAGCTGCTCCTTATCTCTATGATGGTCTGACCAAAACCTCAGAGCTGACAGCTCTAAGTTCTACAAAAGCTGGGTCATGAATTTTTATTTCTCAGACGTGGATACAAGTCACCAATATGAATCTACTTTAGGCTCAAGGAAAAGAAACAGAAAACACTTGCTTAAGCTGCAGAAGTACTAGTGGGAGCGTGTTTTTATGCTCACACCCATACGTACATGTATAAGGGCAGGATAGTGTTGTTTCTTTTTTCACACTGCATAGACAATGGGATATAACTCCACTTCTCGCTTCCCACTGCTTACGGGTACTGCCTTCTTCTGACACCCGCAGAGGGCAAAACAGGTGGAGAAGATCAGGGTTCTGGTTCCAGCCAATTCCAAATGCATGTTCTGACCCACTTCGTCAGGCACATGCAAGCTCTCTGCTGCTTAGAACCATGTGTACTCCCCCTACGCCATCAATTGACAAGGCAAACTGTAAAAATCATATCCTTTTCCAGAGATTCAAGATTTCAGGTAAAGTCTGGGCTTCTTAATATTTTCTCTTACATCTTCAACAGCAAATTCTTCCTAAGTCCCATTCCCATGTGAGAAATTTGCTTTTTCCCCCCTCGTAGGATTTGGCATACTGTATGCTCAGAAACCCAGCAGTCTCAGAAGCTTGCTTTCTCTTGCTATTCCTTATGAAGAAAATGGTGATATATTGGTATGAAGGATGAAAAATATCTGTAAAGCTCAGATAGCTTTTTACTTAGCAAAGCACTGTTACCTGTCTGCATCCACAGTCACGTCATGAACCCCTCTCTGAATGACGTCTCGAGAGGCAGCTAGGTCTGGTATTCGGTTCAGACTTCTTGTATATAGGTTGAGTCCTCCATCTGTCATGTACCTGAAAATAAATGTGTGGTCAATCATTGGGAAATGCAGCCATCTGGCAACCATGTTTCACTCTAAAGTTAATGGACTGTGGAATTCAAATGTTTAAGGTACGAGCTGTCCTATTAGATAGCAGACTTAAACTAAATATTCTTAGTTTATGTGCGCAGCGCAGGGATATCAGATATATGACTATTTTCTAGGATAATACGCTGTTTTCTCTGGTGGCTTACAGGTCAACCTGTTTTACCAAATATTTAGACTGAAGCCTTCAAGTATCTTCAAAAATTTTAAGTACATTTTAAGTACCACAGTTTTGTCAAAGAATATCACCAGATGCAAGAAGCATAACTCCAGTTAAAAAAGAAGAAAAAAAAGGAAAAAAATCAGTAGCATCCATCTAAGTGGGAACAGAAATTGAGAACCCATATCCATAGTCCTTGCTGGGATGTAGTCGTTCCAATATAAAAGACATATCCTCTGAAGCCCTTACAATGACATTTAAGAATCTGTTTCTGCCTGTGTTCCTTTTGCTTGATTCCCACCACTTCACATTATAATGAATGACTAATGAATCGAACAGTGAGTACACTGCTGCTTACTCACTAGAGAACCATTAAAAGTTTCTGAATTTCAAGTGGTAGCAATAATTTCTGGAATGCCTACTTACTTTCTAGTTAGATCTATGGGAGGTCATGGTGCTTATAACTGAGCAGTACCACAAGCCTGTCCTGCTCTCAGGACCTTTCCATTATTTTCTCAGAGGACCTTTCATTAAGCTGTCTTCCCTCTTAAGCTCTTGGTTTTTACATTTCCCTCTTGTAGTTTTTTGTAACTTTAGTGTAGCAACCTAGTACAGAGTTTGCACAAAATTATTTGTGAAGGGCCACGCACATGTATGGCACTTAATATAGAAGTATACGGATACAGAAAAAAATTTGCTATACCTCAGTGAATCTACTGAAAGTAAATTTACAGGCTTACTGAAATGAGTAGTCCCAATCCTAGAACGATGGCTAAATGATCTACTGAAGCTTACTCCCAATTCAAATAATATTTAACACAAGTTCTCCTCAAGCCATGAAACAGTGCCACTCAAATCCACTTTTCAGTCAAAGCGTGTATCCAAGTACACAAGCATTTAATTTTAACAACCCTACACAGTTTCCCAGGCACAACCCAAGGCACACACACCCACCGGTGGTGCTCCAGATGTTCTCTTGGCCTTCTCTCCCTGCAGTTCCTTCTGGGAGCTGGTTTAATTGAAATCAATCGTCCCAGAGACCGCAGAGCTAATACAGTAGCCCGGGAGCACCAGCCTCCACCCCCACGGTTCAAGGGGGGTGAACTGGTGCGGATTTTGAGAGTAAAGCTGCCGTAGGGGTAGCCTTGTGTGACAGCTGCAGTTTGAGACACCATCCTGTCCTGAGTGGCAATCTGGATGAAGGCAACCTCAAGTGCATTAAAACACAAAGTGTTGGTTTGCTCATTTTTAACTAAACTCTAAGGCATTTTATCAATGGTAAGATTTGGCCTGCAGGTCAGCAAGGGGTTTGTGAAACCCTGGTATCTGCAGTCTGCAGAAGGTAACTCCACATTTGTTTTCAAAGGTGAATTAACACACTAGATTTAGCCTTCTATTAAAGACAAAATTTAGACCTTTTGACAGATTCTTTAGCTAGAGCTGAATTGTGCAGTAGATTCCAAGGCTCTGGAATTGCATATTAAATTTAGCTGTGGTTTGAATGCAATGCAGTCTATATGGATTTTTTCCTCTATAAGTAAGGCCTGAATGGCAAGACTTAACAAGTGCAACAGGCTTTCCTAGCACTAGTTTCTAATTACTGCTGCATTTCTGTCCCCAAGTGTTTAAAGTAATTAAACTGAAAATGGAAGAGGCATAAAGGAGATAAGACTTTACACGCCTCAATGAATCCTGAATTTTCAGAACTTATTAACTTGTTTTTAACGTTTACTGCACCTAAAAACGTTAACTGGGCACATTGCAACTTACTACTGAGTCATCCCTATTACAGATGCAAAGAAAAGTCACAGAAGATGACTATATTCACTCTCTAATGTGATAAGCTAATTAATACAACTCATCAGGCACTGCAAAGGATTCCCCTATTTTTTTTTTTTTAAATAAACCCATGCATCCATCAAAGGCAGCATTTATGTTGTTTCCTTCATGATAAAAGGTCTCCAGACATTCAAGTGCTACATTTTCCATATGTCTTTTCTCTGTTCTAGCCCACATGAATATGGCATCCTACTTGACAGCCACTAATGCTATGCTGTGGGCAACCTTGTCAGCAGTGCTCCATTCATAGATCACTGAGACAGTGCACCAGGGACTTGCTTTATAGTTATGCTTTTTCTAGAGATCTATCTTTGGATGGTGCTTGAGGTGAGACACTACTGTAGAGAGAGCTTTGATCACAGACTTACATTTGCCCTTAAGAATGTATCATACCAAATTTCATCAGCCACCCTTCTCTAATCACAGCTATACTTCAAGCTAGAAGATTAGATTGACAGCAAGAGTCCTAAATTTATACAGAGTGAAGTAGTGTGGTGTGACATGGCCATGTACTCTATGGGACTTTTGTTCAACTCAATGTTCCCTCAGCCACCAAGCAGCCTTGAGATGCCAACAATAGCACTGAACAGTAATTTAAGTATGAGTAAAACAGTAACGTGGCTTTTTTAAATTTAATTTAATTTAATTTAATTTAATTTTTATTTTATTTTATTTTATTTTATTTTATTTTATTTTATTTTATTTTATTTTATTTTATTTTATTTTAATGATGCTTTAGAAATTCTAACATACATAGGAATGAAGTGACTTATGTTCATAGGATTGATATAAGATTTGTAAAATAGTAATTTGAAACACAGGGAATGCTGTACCTCAAAGTCAATCAATTAATAAAGCAAATAAAAATAAAAAAAGAAAAATAATTATCATTCCTCCTCCTGGGTATGCTAAGACAGGGACTAATCTATTGTTCTTTGAAAAGATATTCCTACAGCTCAGACAATATGCACAGTTGAAAAATTGCAGTAAAAGCCTATCACACAGACTACACTAGACAATATCTGAAGCGGAAACAGAGAAAGTCAGGCCTGTCAGCAACTGCTTTCATCAGCTGCATCCAATACCGTATCTACCATCTACCATCTCAAATAAAACATAAAAATACTGAAAGATCCATCCCAGGGTAAGTAGGGAAAAATGATGGTTTACCAGGTAACCATGAAATTCCAGTACGTAATAGGAAGTACTTGCACTCTTATCAAAGTTCATAGCAAAGTCATGTTGATGTGAAAGTTCTTCTGAACTGAATTTGAAGGCAGATGAGAACATCACTGGCAGGTTAGGGGCTTAATTTCCGTTGTTTTTTATATGTATACTTTAATGTAGCAACCATAATGAAACTTCTACTTGTGTGCCAGACTTTGTTATAAAAATCATATTAAAAACATCAATCATGCATTAGCTCAAATGAGGGAAAAGGGTTACATACCCACTATTGATGTCGTCACTTCGAAGGCTTTTCCCAAGAATGTCCCCATCGCTCATGTAGCCACCAACGTCAACTTCAGAAGCCATGTCCAAATCACCACTTCCCTTCTCGCTCATGTCGATCTGTGAGATATTTCCAAGGCGAGAAACAGCTGCTCGGCGAAGCGGGGTGGTGTACATGAATCGGGAAGGGTCTGTGTGTATGAAGCGACTTGCACTGCTGCGAGGATAACCAGCGCCCAAGGATGGGGCATCTCCTGCCTGCAGCCGAGGACTGGCCTGCCCTAGCCTCCAAGTCACCGGGGTGGACCGGCTTGTCAGGCTTGGTATGCTTCTCCCATTCACCTCAGTTGTCACAGTGCTGTCAAAAGTTGTCTCCAATGTGCTGCCAAACAAAATGGAGAAGTCAGTGACCTGTGCTCTCTCTGTTCCTGAGAAACAAGGGAAAGCAAAGGCTGGAAAAATGGATGGTTTTTAGAAAAGTTCTCTGTGTGTGTGTGTGTCTGTCTGTCTGTCTGCATGTGCACACATGTATTTATGAATACAATAACCTCTACTTATAAAATAACCTAAATTAAATTTTATAGGCTTCTAAGTAGATGGATATGAAACAATAACCTTCTTTGTGAATGATTGTATAAGACATTTTGACAGTAAAGGATATTAAAGTCACATTTAAGTTGTTGAGGCAGTCTAGCAAACAGTATGGTTAGTGTCATAGTTAATTTTCCCCTGCAAGTCTCTAATTCATTCAGCAACTAGTAATACTCTCCCACAGTCCAAATTTTTAGCAGTCTACACAAAACCAGTATACCTGTGACTTATTTGGGTCCCTCTAAGGCTGGACATAGTTTCTTCCAAATTCTGTCTCAGGTCTGCTATATTCTTCACAGTTCTCATTCTTCTTGTTTCAGGGTCTTCCCCTGGAAGAAAACAGAAAAGCCATCATAAATTTTAGCGCACGTGAGTTTATAAGGTTGAATAAAGTGCACACAAGTATACACAGCTGAGAATACACACGTATGATTGTAAATAGGCTTGTCCCTTTAATCTTTTAAAAAATAAACCCTCATCGTTTCAGTAATAAAACACACATATGCTTATAAATAGCATATGGTATGTAAAAAACCCACTGAAGAGAGTCCTGATGAAGTATCCCTGCCAGGGCCCAAATCTATTAATGAAACTCAGATTTACAGTGTTGGGATTTTTATCCTCTGTAATCAATGCACGATGCAGCCTCAGACCACTTGATACATTACACAGCCTCTTTTTCCTCCTTGACATTTTACATGACTTGGTAGGAAATAAAACCACAGTAAATCTGTGTCTGGAAAGAACTGGGATGACTGTTACAAAAACTCTTCAGTGTGCACTTAACATCCAGGCTATTTCAAAGTACTCTTTAAGTCAGGCACTTAATAAAGCATCTTTTCTAAACTGTAATGGTTTCCTGAAGGGGGAGATTATTCATCATATGGGATAAAAAAAAATATTCTTCTTGGAATAAAAATCTGAACACTCCAAGAACATGCGTCATTTAGACAATCATGGATTTTAACAGTCTTCGGGGATCCATTGTGAAAAGCTAGTCTGGTGTCTTGAACAGTGAAGCCCGCAGAACTTCACTTGGAACATCCTGAATAATGTTTACTTCACATGATTCAGGAAAAGAAAAAAAAAAAACATAAAAAAAAAAAGTTGTATATTATGTGTTATAAAAAGGAAAACATAATAAGACACAAAGCAACCTCTAGAAGTCATATATGAAGAAACAAAAACGCATGTTTTCTAGCATATTCATGTATCAAGACATTTTAGTTCATTTTTCTTTTAGAGAATAAGAGCATTTCCAAAGAAAATCTGTGACAAAAATCACTGATTTGTTCAAAGCTAGTGTTCTGCTCTGGCTGTGTCCTCTACCTGTTGCTTGAAAGAAGGTTGGTGTCATGGTTTGATGTTTTGTTGGCACCAACCAACAAAAAGGAAGCACAAGCTTTCTTAGGCATTGTGGGTTTCTGGCGAATGCATATTCCCGACTACAGCCAGATTGTAAAACCCCTCTACCAAATAACTCGAAAGAAGAATAATTTTGAATGGGGCCCAGAACAAAAACAAGCCTTTGAATAAATTAAACAAGAAATAGTCCATGCGGTAGCCCTGGGACCAGTCCGGACAGGACAAGATGTCAAAAACATGCTCTACACTGCAGCCGGGGAGAATGGTCCTACCTGGAGTCTCTGGCAAAAAGCGCCAGGGGAGACGCGAGCTCGACCTCTTGGGTTTTGGAGTCGAGGATACAAAGGATCCGAAACCAACTATACTCCAACTGAAAAAGATATTGGCAGCATATGAAGGAGTCCGAGCTGCTTCTGAAGTGATTGGTACAGAAGCACAGTTGCTCCTGGCACCCCGATTGCCAGTGCTCGGCTGGATGTTCAAAGGGAGCGTCCCGTCTACACACCACGCAACTGATGCCACATGGAGCAAGTGGATCGCGCTGATCACACAAAGAGCTCGGATAGGAAACCTCAATCGCCCAGGAATTTTGGAAGTGATCACTAACTGGGCTGAAGGTAAAGACTTTGGAATGTCACCAGAGGAGGAGGAGGTGACACGTGCTGAGGAGGCTCCACCTTATAATGAACTAGCAGACAATGAGAAGAAATACGCTCTGTTTACCGACGGGTCCTGTCGCCTTGTAGGAAAACATCGAAAATGGAAAGCTGCTGTATGGAGTCCTACTCGACAGGTCGCAGAAGCTAC